GTCGTCGTCGTCGTCGTCGTCGTCGTCGTCGACGTCGTCGTCGTCGTCGTCGTCGTCGTCGTCGTCCTTTCCTGAGTAGTTGCAGCGCCAGCAGCAGCAGAAGGAGTAGTTATCAATCTTTCTTGCGAAGTCCTCCCAGTCGTTGCCTCCGAACCCTCGGAAGTCTGGTGCCTTGTTATCTCGCGCCTTTTGGTTTTCGGCTCGATTCGTGCAGTCTGGCTCTCACCGGGGGGCAGCACGCGGAGTCGAGCGTACAGTCGGCCACCATTCGCTCCTCTCTCTCTCTCTCACGTCACGGCGCAACACTGTTGCGGTGGCGTGCGGTGCTCGAAGGTGGAGGCGCCATGCACGTAAGTGGCTCGTGCGCGGGGAAATGGGGAAACATCGGAGGTCTGGAGATAGGCTCGAACCCTTCCGTGCTCCCCGCTCCGAGCTCCGCCCCGGGAGCCGCCGGCGTCGTCGTCGCCGCCGCCGCCGCCGCCGCTGCCGTCGTCGTCGTCGTCTTCGTCGTCGTCGTTCGTTGTCCGCCGCCGACGCCGACGGCGCCGCCGCCGCCGCCATTGTCGTCGTCGGCGGCGTCGTCGTCGTCGTCGTCTTCGTCGGCGGCGGCGTCGTCTTCGTTATCGTCGTCGACGTTGTCGTCGTTCGTTGTCGGCGTCGCCGGTGTCGTCGTCAACGCCAGCGCCGACGTTGGCGTCGAGCACCCATCCCCGCGTCCGTCTTCGCGTGAGGGTGGCCCTCCGTGCCCGACCCCCGACGTCATGATTTGTTCGTAGCGTCGACACCCAGAGGTCTCGGCCTATTCCCGGGACCAGTTTTTCGTCCTGAGTCGTGTTGGGACGGCGCCAGGGGCCGGCAAGGGCCACCAGAGGCCGAGAATCGTGAAAAACTTCCCGTCATGATTTTTGCATTGCCCGAGGGAAACGCATGCGACGCATGGAATGAAGCCAATGATAAGCTGAACTATGAGGCTATGATGCCTCTTCGATTTTGAGCCGGCCATGATGCCCACTCGTGTCCACCCCGTCCCGTCTTCAGGGACCTCGTATCCCCCTATGACGGCGGGATGGGAAGACAGGCCGCCGACGCGGTGATTTTTTCGTAACGTCGACCCTCAGAGCTCTCGACCCATTCCCCTAGACCAGTTTCTCATCCCGAGTCGTTTTTTGACGCTCCCGAGGCCCTGCGAGGGCCCCCCGAGGCCGAAGACGGCCCCAAACCCTCGGCCCTGATTTTTTTACGACGCGAGCACGTCTGGGAAGATAGGCCGCCAGCTTCGGCACTGCAAGCACGGTGCTGGGCGGCCTCCGCGTGGCCGATCCTCCGGCCACGCGCCCAGGCCGGGCTTTCCGCGGGCAGAGGCTGCGCCGGCTTCTCCGCGGAGGCGTCGGGGGCGAGGAAGGCGACGAGGAGGAGGAGGAAGAGGAGGAGGAGGAGGAGGAGGAGGAGAGCAGCGCCTCAGGTAGGTTTCCCGCCGCGCGCGCGGGCGCGCGACGGACTACCCCCTGGCGCCGCCTACTCACGGCACGGTGCCGTAAGAGCAGGAGGCAATGTAGAAGGAGAGCAAAAGGAAAAAGTCGCCCTCAAGGCCGTGGACGCAGGCCAACTTGCCGCCGACGAAGGAGGCGTCGCCACCGAAGAAAACGCCGTGCCACCAGCCGACCACGGAACGGCAGCGAATCACGACATGGTCGATCAACGCGCCGCGTGGTTGCAAGAGGAGCCCCCCTTGCGGGGGCGGCGTTGCTGGGGCACGTCGGGCACGAGGCGCCAGGCCCCTTTCGACGCGCCTGATCGCATCTTGCCGGTTGCGGCGCGTGGACTCGTTGGGCGAGAGCCCATCGCACCTCAAACCAAGCTTCCGCACTGTGCGGACATCTCCCGCATCACAGTGAGACCCGCAGCGCCTGCAACAGTAAACGCTGTTGCCCCTGAACACGTCGTGTCCAAGCGCAGCGAAAGCGTCCCCGACCTCCTCGGCCATGGCAGGTGGCAACAAGGCTGCGGGGGCCGAGGGCTGTGAGCTCCCTTCGAGCGCCAAGGCCGCGCCCAGGGCCATGCCAGCCCTCTGGTCGCTGCAGAGAACCCAGCCCTCGCCGAAGGCGCGGAAGTACTCGGCGTTGAAAGCTCTGGCAACACGCGAAGGGCGACATACACAAAGAGAGCCTGTTTGCAGCGACTCGAGGGAGGAGCCCGTTGTGGCCATGACTCCGCATTGGGTGTATCGGTACCGCCTGAGACTGGCGCAGTAAGCAAGGACATGGTCCGTATTGCGTGCCACCACAATGGGCCTGGCCTGCTCGCAAGGTGGCCTGGGGACCTCCACGTCGCACCCCCATTGTTTGCGAGCTGCCACCTGCAGTGCCGCCCACGAACTGAACTGCAAGACCTTGCGGTGCTGTTTCAGCGCAGCTGTTGCCGCCTCAGCTACCCACCCGGCCAGTGCGTGAGAGGCTGCACCACAGCGCGCGAAGTAGTCTGCCCAGCCGTTGCCTAGCCAGTCACGCAGCTCCTGCGGCTCTGTGCCCATAAACTCCTCCAAGGACCTGTGCGCTGGCGTCCATCGGAACTTGGGAGGGTCCCGCAGAGTGCGCCTGCGGCTGGCCACGAAGATGTCCCGCCACGCTCGAGCATGCTTGGTACGACCCTGCTCGAGCTCGGGACACCAGCGCTCTCCTTCCTGGGCGAGCGCCAGCAGGTCAGTGACGAAGCACAGGTGGTCAGGGAACGCGTCGAGCCCTTCCCTCATCGCGTACTTTTCAGCACGGCCGACAGTCTGCGCCAAGTACGGAAGGGGCCCGAACCGCGCCCTAACTGGGAGCCAAGAGTAAGGATGAAGCTGCACAACAGCTTGTCCACATCTCCGCACCTCGGAAACACCTGAGTCGTAACCAGACCCGTCGGTGTAAGAAGGAGGATGAGGAGGGAGAGGGAAGGGGGAGGAGGAGAAGGGGGGGTGGCTGGCCTGCCGCCACGGCCGCACCGCAGACAACGACCGGCAGGCCGCGCGCTCCAGAGGCCCCCCTCTCGTCTGGGGCCTGGCTCTTCAGGGGGCCCGGAGCTCACGCACAACTCGACTACCGTGAGGTCCTGGCGTTGCTGTTTTTTTTTTTCCTCCAGTGTCTGCGCTCAATTTCGGGTCCAGGGGTCCTCACATATCGATTCGGCTCGAGAAGTGATGCAGATAGATAGGGTCCGGTGCTCCAGTCGCGATTTTCTGCGATGTTGTACTTCTGTCGGACCTCAGGGTACACGTATGAGTGACCCTTCGCCAGAGCGGCCACTGGTGCGGGTTCATCGGGGTCCCCCCTGTCGCTGGTGGTGGTGGTGGTGGTGGTGATTATGATGATCGCGCGCCGTGCGGCGCGGGGCGCGGAGCCTGGCGATTCGAGTTCGTTCTCCCCGATCGCTGAGCGCGAGGCGTTCGCGGCTTGCGCGCTTGGATTTGGCCCTGTTGCGCCCCGTTCCCAGATTCCCGACGTCGAATTTTTCCCAACCATCCTGTGGTGTTGGGTCCTCGTTTTGAAGAGACAGCGCCCCGCGTTCACTCCTTCCTTCCTTCCTCCCTCCCTCTGCCCCCTCCTCCCTCCTCCCCCTCCGCGTCAGCCACACCCATTTCGGCACACCCCTCACACGTTTCGTGGCCCCATAGGGAACCCCACCGAGGGCCCCAATGGCTGCGTCCGCATGGCGGCACCGCACCCATGTCGGCACACCCCTCACACGTTTCGTGGCCCCATAGGGAGCTCCACCGAGGGCCCCAGTGGCTGCGTCCGCATGGCGGCACCGCACCCATTTCGGCACACCCCTCACACGTTCGTGAGCTGGGGTCACAGGGAGCTCCACCGAGGGCCCCAGTGGCTGCGTCCGCATGGCGGCACCGCACCCATTTCGGCACACCCCTCACACGTTTCGTGGCCCCATAGGGAGCTCCACCGAGGGCCCCAGTGGCTGCGTCCGCATGGCGGCACCGCACCCATTTCGGCACACCCCTCACACGTTTCGTGGCCCCATAGGGAGCTCCACCGAGGGCCCCAGTGGCTGCGTCCGCATGGCGGCACCGCACCCATTTCGGCACACCCCTCACACGTTTCGTGGCCCCATAGGGAGCTCCACCGAGGGCCCCAGTGGCTGCGTCCGCATGGCGGCACCGCACCCATTTCGGCACACCCCTCACACGTTTCGTGGCCCCATAGGGAGCTCCCTCTCATTCGTTCAACCTGCTTTGCGGTACTCGTAACTGCATATGGTTGGGTCCATCGCCAGGATATTTTTTTCGCAACGTCGACCCCCAGAGGCCTGGACCCTTTTCCAGGGACCGGTTTTTCGTCCTGAATTGTTTTCTGACGGCCCCGAAGCCCGGTAAAGGCCCCCAGAACCAGAAAATAACCCAAAACCTCCAGTCGTGATTTTTTGACAAAGCGAGGAGGGTATGGGTAGTCACCAAGGGTCACTGTTGCCTAGGGTCACTCATGCGTGTGTAGCCGACACATCCACCGCCTGGGGGCGCCGATCTCTCGCAGGCCCCCGGGAGGAAGTGGAGCCAGACCCCCTTTCGGGCCATGAGAAAACAGCGTGACGGGAGGTCCCCGAGATCCTGGCGTTGCAATTTTGTTACAGCTGCCGTTTCCGCTCAATTTCGGGCCCCTGGGCCTTCACAGATCGATCCGGCTCGAAAACGGACGTAGAAAGGGAGGGTCTAGGGCTCCAGGCGTGACTCTTTATGATGCTGCATTTTTTTCGCTACGTCGGATCTCAGGGTTCGGCCTCTCGGGGCCCTTGCCGGCCCTCGGGACCGCCAGAGAACGGCTCGGGATGGAAAGCCGGTCCCGGGGAGCAGGGCGAGACCTCTGAGGCTCAACGCCCTGAAAGCAACAGGGCGTCGGCGGCCTGGGGAGGGAGGGACAAGTGAGGGGCACAGGAGGAGAAGCAGGAGAAGGGGGAGCCTCGGCAGACGCTGGAGATCTGGAGCGGCGTTTGCGCGGCCTCGCCGCATCCAGGCGGCGCCCTGGTGCTCGAGCCGGCGCGCCCGGGGGCCTTCGACGCGGACCTGGACGCGTTCGTGCAGCGGGAGCCCCGGGCGCGCCCCGCGCAAACCCTGCGGCGGGCTCGCTCCTCAGGGGCGTCCACGATTAAGTCGGGCGTGTCCCTCTACAGGAGGAGTAATCAAAAATAGCGAAACAATAGTCTGGGGACGATATTTGCTTATTTTGACTGAATGTTTTGGATCTTTGATTATTTCGTCCAAGATCCCCCTGTAGGGGGACATGCCCGACCGAAGTCCACGAGCCCAGATCTCCGACGGCCCAGGCCGACATGTGTGAGAGCTGTATGTGGCAACCACGCAGCACACTCTCCCCCTTCGTCCTCTTCGCCCTCCTCCTCCGCCTCCTCCCCCACCTCCTCCTCCTCCTCCTCCTCCTCCTCCTCCTCCTCCTCCTCCTCCTCCTCCCCCTCCTCCTCCTCCTCCCTCCTCCTCCTCCTCCTCCTCCTCCTCCTCCTCCTCTCCATCTCCCACTCCCCCTCCTCCTACTCCTCCCCCTCTCCTACTCCTCCCCTCCTCCTCCTCCTCCTCCTGCCTCCTCCTCCCCCTTCCCCTCCTCCTCTTTCTCCTCCTCCTCTTCCTCCTCCTCCTCCTCCACCATCCCTCTTCCTCATAAATCTTCCCTGTCGCACCCCGAGGCCAATCGAAAGGATGGGCCTAGCGTTCCCCTTTACATTTCCTTGCAACTCACGATCCTGAAGCTGAGAATCTGCAGCAGCTTCACGGATGGAGGGCGGCCGCCGCTTGCAAAACGTGGTTCTCGCACCTGCGCCGCGCACACTCGTCGTGAGAATTCGCAGGAACTTCACGGATGGAGGGCGGACCGTTTAGAATAAATGTGGCTCTCGCTGTAGCGCCGCACACATTCGTCTTCAGTTTGTAACGTATTCAAGGGTTCTCATCGCTAACGTCTCAGAAATGGTGTTTCGGCACGATGTAGGAACATCAGGGCGCAACAGTCATGTTCATTCGCGTTGTTGAAATCTGAAGAATGGTGTTCTGGCACGATTCAAAATCGTCTGGACGCAGAAGTAGCGGTGATTCGCGGCGTTGAAGTCCACGGAATGTTCCAGCACAGTCCCGGATTTTCAAACGGTTGTCTTCCATCGGAGTACCTCCCTCAGTGAGAATGAAAACCCTTATAGGGGCCTATGAAGAGGGAACTCGGAGGGAGGGTTCATTGCAATATCGTTGGTGAGTCTTGGGTTTACACTGGTCCTCCCCCTCCTCCTTCTCCTCCTCCGTATAACTGGATCAAAGCACACGGCGCACAAACTCCCGGAGAAGGGGCAATCTTGTTTGACGCCCTTCTTGCAGAAGAACCCCATGCCATAGACGCCACAGTGATGGACCTCGATCCACACATCCTGATACAATGCGTGGATGGCCTCAATCAAGTTGCGCGGGATCGCCATGGCAGCAAGGGTCAAGAAAAAAACCGCATGCAACAGAGACGGAAACGCAGCCCGAACTTCAAAGAACGCGATCCCGGTCCGAAACATGAAGCGCTGGACCATCCAGTGCATGCACTTGCCCTCTAAATGTTGCGGTTGCGGCGCGGTACGAAGCCGTTTTGTGCAAGGTCGCAGGTGACGGTGCACACATACGACATCGATTTGTTGATGCAAAGGGCAACGGCCGTGTGGCAGGTGTTTGAAACAGCCAGTGGCCGAAGTTTCCAAGGAGACCGCTGGACAATCGTGTAATCCCTCGTGGCAACACCTTTTGGGAGCATGAAGGCCCTCCCCCAATTGAGCAGTTCGGGTGCTCTCCCCGTTTCCAGCATGGCGCAATAGATTTTGTAAAGAGCTGTGAGGGCGAAACCCAGTCAGGGCCTGGGCTGGAATCAGACTTCGAGGCCAAGATCTGGGTGAACACAATTTCCACTCTGGCACAGAAGGTGCAGGAACCACGAAGTCCCTGAGTTCTTCCTCGGCGACGTCGTCCCCAGCGAATTCGGCTTTTCCCTGGCCCCAGTAATGAGCAAGCTCCCTGGCCGCCAGCGCGGGGTCCAAGATGGCATTGCCAAGTGGATCTTCGACATCCGCCAACGCAGAAGTACGCCCTCGAGTATTCCAGGCACTGCCATGTTGGCACATCATGTTCGGCTTCCGTGTCGCTTGTTTCGCCTGCATCATCATCATCAGCATCAGCATCAGCATCATCATCATCATCATCATCATCATCATCAGCATCAGCATCAGCATCAGCATCATCAGCATCAGCATCATCAGCATCATCATCATCATCATCATCATCAGCATCAGCATCAGCATCAGCATCAGCATCAGCATCATCATCAGCATCATCATCATCATCATCAGCATCGGCAATTGCCCTGTCGAGGCAGTCCCTTGTCTGGGTCGGTAAGCCGGCCTGCGTCGAGGCGGAAGGACCCCCCGAGGGAAGGGAGCGCGCGGCACGCGCGACACAGCACCGGCAGGGCCCGAGGCCCGAGCAGCGCGAAGGGCCGCCGCGAAGGGCAGCGGGGGCCAAGAGGCCCGTCCCTCTGCCGACGTAGCCCCTCTCTTGGCCATCCCCCTCGTCTCCTCCCTCGGAGTTCAGTTGGGCCTGTCCCTCCACAGGAGGAGTGTTCAAAAATAGTCAAAAACACAGTCAGGGGGCGATTCTTTGACAATTTGTGATATTGTTTTGGTATTTTAGGGGTACTTGTTGTTCTTCGCCCAAAATCCCCCTGCACAGGGGACATGCCCGACTTAACCTTAGAGCCTCTGCGAACGACCTGGGGTGGGCATCGGGAGGCATCGTGCTCAGCCAGGCCATCTCTCTGCGCGTCTGGCAGGTCGCTGGTCCTGCGATGGGGGGTTGGAGCTGAGCGCTGCGAGAGCTGTCACAGTACTGCTCGGGCCTTTCTCGTCCTCCGAGTTCCTGGGCGCCATGGCCGAGGTCGGCTTCCCCAACCTTGAGGCTCAAGTTAGTCGATGCGGGAGGTATCTGGGGGTTCGTCGTGGGGCACGGGTGTCGTGCTGTTACGTGGTCTGAGAGCCCCTTGTCAAGTATCAGGCCAGGAGTCACTCTGTGAGGAGCCTGTGCCTGGGGTTTCAGAAGTCCGTTAGCCACCATGACGTGTTCGCGTGCGGTGTTCTCACATACGCTGCGCGTCTCAGGCTGATGCCTCTTCCATGTATGCGAGGCCCTGCCGTAACCCCTTGGCGGTGCCTCAGCTTTCCCTCCTTTCTCACGACCTGGAGGTGGCGGAGTGGGGGGGTGAGGTGTACGTGGTGCCACTGCTCAGGCAAGACTTCGCTCTCTCGAGCAAAGCTTGAGCATCCTGGCGATAAGTATGAGCCCACGCCGCTCCACTTGTATCTCGCAGCTGTTAGAGCCGAGCGTCACAATGGCCTCCTCCCTAGGGCGCGAAGTGATGCTGTCTTGAACGCCTGTCGTGAGTTGGGGCTCACTTCTGATGACCTGCACGTGCAGGCTCTGGAAACTTTCGAGTATCGTGGCCATTGCGTGCAGGCCACAGGCAAGTTTTTGATGTGCCGCCGCTGCGGCGCCCGTGCCTCCATCGAGGCCCCGGCGTGGAGGGGCCTTTTGGCGGACTGCCGAGGCGCTGCTGAGAGGGCCTCAGTGCAGTCCTGGCGCATTGATGCTGCTCTAGCGGGTCGCGAGGTCCGCTAGGTGGTGCAGGCTATGTAGGCAGGCAGCGGCTGGTGCCGTCGTGTTGCTTGCCACCACGGCCTGCGCCCTAGTGGCCCTCGGCCTGTGCGGAGGGCTGCGGGACCGTGACACACGGGAGTCCCGCGCCCTCCACCTTTTCCCTTTGCCCGCCAGCCCTCATCCGAATTGGATGTTGCGCCTCGGCCTGATCCTTGATCCCTCCTCCGCCTCCTCCTCCGCCTCCTCCTCCTCCTCCTCCCGTGCCTCCAGTTCACGGCTCGTAGCTTCGACCGCCTCGGCGTGCGGTCGGGAGGCGCGTGAGGGGGAGGCCAACACACAAGCACTCTCGGGCCGCGTCTGTCGCATCGCACGCGACGATCGGGAAGCCCCGCACCACACCAAGACCCCCTCGGGTAATGAACAAATCACGACGGGAGGTTTTCCGTTATTCTCGGCCTCAGGGGGACCTTGCCGAGCCTCGGGACCGTCAAAAAACGAATCGGGATGAAAAACAGGCCCACGGGAATGGGTCGAGACTTCTGGGGTCGACATTATGAAAAAATCATGACGTCGGCGGTCTGGGCAGGTCACTTGTGCCCAGGGTCGCTCTTGCACGGGGCCTTCGAAAATCCTCGCTGGCCAGGCGGTGTGTCGAGCACGATCCCATTGCAGCTACGGTGCTCTGGTGCACCTACGGAGTCCCGCCTTGAAGAGACAGGGCTGGCAACTTGCTCGTCCTCTCAAACTCATCTTCAGGGCGACGCTCGTTGAAGCGGGTCCGTATCTCGGCGCCGAGCTAGTCTGGACTTCGCCCCTCTCGGTCGTTATCCTGTGACCTCTCTGGCGTGCCAGGCAGCGGCGGCTGACCCGCCCGGCCCGACTCCTCTCAAAATCTGTCCCCGAACCCTTCCTGGGCTCCATCCAGACAAGTTTTCCGAGGCGGCTCCAGCCTTGGCGACGAGAAGGCTCTCCAAAAGCATGGTGAACTGCAGGGAAGGACGCCGTTATCTCGACCGGTCCTCCCCCGACGTTCCCTCCCCCCTCCCCGGCAGCACACGGCATCGATCTGCCATCCGTGTGCGGGGGCCGAACGGTCTTACACCATCCCTGGGTGAGTGGCCGAATGGTGCGTCCGCGGCGCGGATTCTTGTTTGTTTGTTGTTCTTGTTGTCGTCGTCGTCCTCGCCCGCGACCCACCCATGACCCACCCCGCGACAAACCCGTGACCAAGAAGAACAAATCAAAAACGCTGCTTTGACTCAAGCATCGCGCCCGCGACGGATGTCTTCAATTTTGTTCGAGCCTCGCAGGCTGCCGAGGATCCCCCCCTCCCCACCGCCCTCCCCCTCTTCGCCGCAACTGCGGAGGCTGTGGCACTCTTTCTCGGAGAGCCCTCTGCAAGGAGGACCTGCTGGCGTACTCCTTCTACAAGGCCTTCGCCGAGTTTCTCAACGGCCTACGCGCATCCCCGGGCAACGGCCGAGTGGTGGACCAGCGCACGGTCCTTCTATCGAAGACCCCTAGGGCAAATCACCGCCGCCCCCTGCCTTTTTGGAAGCGCTTGCGTGGCCGAAAGTTGGGTTCGAGCTTGGCCAAGCTATCGGGCCACGCGTTCCCCGAGTGGGTTTTTAAAGCTTTCGGGGAACACAGAGTCGGGCGAGCTATCGGACCAGGTGGTTTCCGAGCTTTCGGGCTTCCTGGAGGATGTCTTGGAGGGCTCTTGGGCCGTCTTGGAGGCTTCTTTCGGGCTTATAGGGCAGTCTAAGGCCATCTTCAGGCCATCTGGGGCCGTCTTGGGTGCATCTTGGGACCATCTTCGCGTCTTCGCCGTCTTGGAGGCCTTCTTGGCCTCCTTGGAGGCATGTTGGAGGCCGTCTTGCATGCCATGTTGGGCGGCTTGGGGGCCATCTTGGGCCGTCTTGGTGTCTTGTTGAGGCCCTCTTGGGGGCCTCTTGGGCTGTCATGGGGCCATCTTGGAGGCCTTTTGGGCGCTCTTGGGACGATGTTTGGGGCCTCTTGGGCCGCCGTCTACAGCCGTCGGAGAGCTGAAACGAAGGAATACCCAAATCCTTCAAACACCTAAGGGAAATCTTAACCCTGTCGGGCCTTCCTGGAGGACGTCTTTGAGGGCTTCTGGGCCGTCTTGGAGGCCTCTTTCGGGCCTGTAGGGCAGTCGAAGGCCATCTTCAGGCCATCTTGGGCCGTCTTGGGTGCATCTTCGGGCCATCTTAGCCGTCTTGACGGCCATCTTGGGCGTATTGGAGGCATCTTGGAGGCCATCTTGGCCGTCTTGGAGGCTATCCTGGGCGTCTTGGGGGCCTCTTGGGCCGTCTTGGGGCCTTCTTGGGGCCCTCTTGGGGGGCCTCTTGGGCTGCAAAACCAGCGTTTCGCCTAAGACATCCTCAACACACTTATGTCAAACAGCTGTTTCGCGAGGGACATCCTCAACTTTTTAATTCGCCGGCCCTGCGCGACCTTGTCATTTATCGCAGAATAATTTCGCCGGCCCTACAGCCGTCGGGTCCGGGGGGAAACAGCTAAAAGAGAACTCTGGGCCCATGCCCTTTCTGGGAACAGATGCAAAGTGATCGCGGGGCGTCTGCGCATGATCCAGATTTTGGTTCAAGCATTAGGTATTATTTTGTGCAACGGATGGTGGGTGGTGTTGGCAATATCCGGGGTTTGGCACAGGTCGGGTGGGGGAGCGGGTGTTCGTTAAGAAGGAGCAGTGATCAACCCCTCCCCGAAGGGGAAGAAGGGGGTTAGAAGAGGAGACGCTCTAAATCAAACGGCTGTTGGGATTTCAGAAGTCCGTCCAGACAGCATTTTGAATCATGCCAGCTTCTGCGTGCCGGAGGGCACGGTGGCGGATTGCAGAACAATGTGGAAGGTGCCGCCCCGACGAAGTTGCAGGTGTTCGCCCAGATGTACGGGAGTATCTGCGCCGCGAATGGACCGCACCTCGCCATGGCGCAGTTCAGCTCCTCAGACGCGGATGCGGGCTTGGGGTCGGAGCAGAGCGATGACGCCGCTCTCGGGACAGCCGCCGTTCAAGAAGCCGCCTCGATCGCATGGAAGATACACAGCGCTGCGTGGGTCCTGGTCGCGGATGCCCACAAGGCGACCGCGCTGCTAAGCTGAGCGCAGCCTCTGCGGCGTGTTTTGCGACTCGAGGGGGTCCGTCAAGGGCCCAGCTGGCATCGGCCTCTCTGTGGGGCTCCTCGTTCCAAGTTAAGACGTCCCTGGGGAAGCGCAGGAAAACGCTTCGCCACCCTGGAAGCCTTCGTTGGGAAGTTGCCATCCAGGATCTGGAAATGCGGAATCCCACAGAGAGGGTGTCATCGTGGAGTTTCAGCGCCATGCCTGAAACTCAAGCTGGCATGCATTCAGGACGGCTTGTCTCAGGAGCCTCGGCGCCACGGTTCGCGTGGCATCTTGGCGATCTCTCGGCCTGCTTGCCCGATCTCGGCCGCAGGCGACCGCGGTGCACAGACCAGAGACTTGGCTGCGGAAAGCCCGTGCGCGATCCTTGGCCGGAGCTTGCCGCTGCGCCGCCTTCTGCCAGAGCAGCCGCCGCAGTGAGCCAGCACGCCCGTGCCCCCCCGCTGTGGAAACACGCCCGACCCGTGCTTGTTCATTGTGGTCGAATTATCTGTGCCCACAAACCCCGCGGGTGCGGAAAGCGACGCGGTCGTGAGCGAAGGGTTTCTCTGGGATCGAGCGCTCGACCTCAGAGAGAAGCCTGCTGCAGGCGCAACTCTATCATTCGGGGGAAACGCATCACCCTTTGCCTCTGGACCTACAATGGTTACCGCCTTCCTGAGCAGCCGCAAGAACGAAAAGTTGATGTTGCGGTCAGAACTGAGAGCTTGGTCGCGGACGGAGTTAGCTAACTTGAGGCGATCCCCGTCAGTCCGAATATAGTACACAGTCTACCATAGTCGTTCCCCCCCGCCCTGGCTCCCCTGCGCCGCCTCGACATGGCTTGCCGCCTATCCCATTGGGTGGACTTCCCGGCGCCCAGCCCAGTAATTTGTGACAGGGGATGCCACGGACGATGCTGGGAGCTTTAAACGGCATGTTTGCGGCTCTCGGGGCCTCGTGGACTTCTTGGGGCATCTCTTTGGCCTTTTTGCCAATCTCTTGGGCCGTCTTGGGCCTCTCTCGGGGCCCTCTCTCGGGCAGTCTGGGAGGTCTCTTCGGGGCCTCCTTCGGCTCCGTCGGGCCTCTCTTGGGCAGTCTCGGGGCCCTCTTGGGCTGTCCCGGGGGGCCCCTTGGCCCTCCCGGGGGGCCTCTTCGAGCTGTCTGGGGGCCCTCTTGGGCCGCCTTTGGGCGCTCGCCGTCCTGCCCGTCGTTCCACCCCTCGTCCCTCCACGGGCCCCTGCAGATGCCGACCGCGCCTGCCACGCCGCCCGCGCGCAGCGAAGCCAGCTGCCATGTCGTCGGGCCGCAGCTGGGCGTCGGAGGCTTCAAGTTTCAGGCGGCGGCCCTCGCCGGGAACGGCAGGATCTACGCCGTGCCCTTCGCCACGGGCACGAGGCGGGTGCTGGAGATCGATCCAGAGACTGGGCGGGCGCAGGGCATCGGCGAGGAGCTGCCGCAGGGGAACGCCCGCTACGTCACCGCGACCGCCGCAGGCCATCGGGGAAATCAAGAGATGGGCCAATCGTCCACCACCGCGGCAGTAGGTAGGACAGGAGAGAAGGGAAGATGGGGAGGTCCTCTTCCTCCTCCTCCTCCTCCTCGTCCTCTTCCTCCTCCTCCTCCTCCTCCTCCTCCTCCTCCTCTTCCTCCTCCTCCTCCTCCTCCCTCTCCTACCTATGGTAGCGGTGGTGGAGAACAAAAAGAAGGATCAAGCATCAATAAAAAGAAGGATCAAGCATCGGCGTAGACATAACATTTTTGGAGGTCCGCGCGGTTTCCTTGGATCTGCGCTGGGCATCCCTGGCAGCGCCTCCGACGCCGCCCCTGGCGCGCTCCGCGGGCCAGGGAGGGGAGGGGGGGCTCAGCGCAGGTCCAAGAAGCCCGCGCGGACCTCCGAAGGATTACGTTTGTCCAATTCTTCCCCGCTCTAGGCGAGGCTGGCCGCGTGTACGCAGTGCCATGCAACGCCCAGCGGGCGCTGGAGATCGATCCTGCCACGGGCGACGTGCGGGAGATCGGAGAGGAGATGGTGCACGGCGGCCTGAAGTACCAGGCCCCCAGCGGGCCAGAGGAGCGGTGCAAGCCAGAGCCCCTCGTGGGAGGGGTGCGTCCTTGCACCAGGCTGGCCCAGAAGCACAGGACCCCTGTCAGGGCCTCCTGCGGTCCGACTCGATGCGATTCGATTCGCCCGCTGGGGCCGCGATTCCGGTTCGATTCGATTCGGTTCAAGTCGCCGACATCGGCCGCGGCCAGGTGGAGCTGGGCGCGGCGATCCGATGTCGATTCGATTCGGAACGAGCCGCTGGCGATCCGATATGTGTCCGATCCGATCCGACTTCGCGGTTCGATTCAGCTCAGGCCCGCCTGTGATCCCACTGCGGGATGCAACGACCAACACCCCAGACGTCATGTTTTTTGCATAACGTCGACCCCCAGAGGTCTGGACCACTTCCCGGGGGCCGGTCTTTCGTCCCGAGTCGTTTCTTGACGGTCCCGAGGCCCGGCGAGGGCCCCCGGAGGCCGACAATGGCGAAAACCTTGTCGTCGCGATTCTTTCACGACGCGAGGAGGTCTGGGTGGGGCCCAGGGCTCCGGTCGCGTCTTCTATGATGCTGTGTGTTCGCAGTGTCGGAGAGCAGGGTCTGCCCACAGACAGCCACGAGCGCCGCGCGACTCGCGGGGGGCGCGGGGCGCGCGACACTATAGGCGACCTGCCCAGATCCCCCCCCCCTCGCGGTGCGAAACAAATCACGGCGAGGGGCTTCTCGCTCTCTTCGGCCTCCGGAGGCCCCTACCGGGCCTCGGGACCGTCGGAAATACGACTCGGGACGAAAAAACGGTCACGGGGAAGGGGTCGCGCTGTGAAGCATGATCGACCCACGAGCCCGGAAAGAAATACAGAAATGCAAGGCGTGGCAACCTTTCAGAGACACCAGATTGGACGACGGGCACATGCCAGGCCGAGGGTATCGATCTTGAAGTACCGTGCCGAGGGCTGCGCTGTGTGCTGTACTGCGATGTGCCATGCCGCGATTGTGCTCTATAGTGTTGTGTATCGAGTCCTCCTTTGCATCCGAGTCCTGACCGAACTGATCTGGATCTTAAGCTCGAGCTGCCTGAGCACGTAGTAGCTGCCCCAAAGCTAATCGACAGGGGGGCATGCCAAGAGGACGCGCCGCAGAATGTCCCAAGGGACGCGCCAGGCGACGTGCCAGGAGACGAGCCATGGGGACGCACCGCGGGACGTACCAAGGGAACGCGCTACGGAACGTGCCAATGAACGTGCCACGGGACGTGCCAGGGGACGCGCCCAGGGGGACTCGCCACGGGACGCGCCACGGAACGTGCCAGGGAACGTGCCAGGTTGCAATGTTGAGTGAATCGATTTTGATTTACCGTGCCGAGGGCTGCGCTGTGCTGTGCCGTGCTGTACTGCGATGTGCCATGCCGCGATTGTGCTCTATAGTGTTGTGTATCGAGTCCTCCTTTGCATTCGAGTCCTGACCGAACTGATCTGGATCTTAAGCTCGAGCTGCCTGAGCACGTAGTAGCTGCCCCAGAGCTAATCGACAGGGGGGCATGCCAAGATGGCGCGCCGCGGAATGTCCCAAGGGACGCGCCAGGCGACGTGCCAGGAGACGAGCCATGGGGACGCACCGCGGGACGTGCCAAGGGGGCGCGCTACGGAACGTGCCAATGAACGTGCCACGGGACGTGCCAGGGGACGCGCCGCGCGACGTGCCAGGGGGACTCGCCACGGGACGCGCCACGGAGCGTGCCAGGGAACGCGCCAGGTTGCAATGTTGAGTGTATCGATCTTGATGTACCGTGCCGAGGGCTATGCTGGGACCTCCTGGAGCGTGAGGAACCCATGTGTTTTTGCGTTTCTCACGCCCTGGGGCATTAGGAGCCCATTCGTTTTCACGCTTGTCCCGCCCTGAGGCGTTAGGAACCATGTGTTTCCACGCTTCTCCCACCCTGGGCCGTTAGGAACCCACATGTTTTCACATGTGTCCCGCCCTGGGGCGTTAGGAACCATGTGTTTTAACACTTCTCCCCCCGCCCTGGGGCGATAGGAACCCATGTGTTTTCACGCTTGTCCCGCCCTGGGGCGTTAGGAACCATGTGTGTTCACGCTTCTTGGGCCTCCTGGGGCGTCCTGGAGGTCGGGGGGAAGCGAACAGCGCTCCCCGAATACATATCCCAAACCAGAAGATACGTAAAGCAAGCATTTGGCCTGAGACTCCCTCTGAATCCTGGTCCCCAGGAGGGGAACAATCTATAACGCAAAACAAGCGTGCCGCTCGAATCATTTTCAACGAATTATTAAAATCACGCTCGGGACAACTAGGTTATACATCCTCCTGTGCGTCTGGGCCACGTAAGAACACGCGGATCCAACTCGGGACAACCATGTCAGAAACTCCGTGCGTTTCTTGATAAGCTGGCGTTGGGCCCGACGCCATGCTAGATACCACCCTGGGCGGCCTGGACACGTAAAAACAAGTAGTTCCAGATCGGGACAATCATGTTAGATACCCCACTGGGTGGCCTGGACACGTAACAACTCGTGGATCCAGCTTTGGGCAACCATGTTAGATACAGCTCTGGGTGGCCTGGACACGTTTAATACACGTGGTCCTTGCTCGGGACAAACATGTTAGATACCCCTGGGTGGGCTGGACATGTTAAAACACGTGAATCCAGCACTGGGCAACCATGTTAGATACCCCCCTGGGTGGCCTGGACACGTTGAAACAAATGGTCCTTGCTCTGGACAACCATGTTAGAGCCCCCTGTGTGGCCTGGACACGTAACAACTCGTGGATCCAGCTTTGGGCAACCATGTTAGATACAGCTCTGGGTGGCCTGGACACGTTGAATACACGTGGGCCTTGCTCCGGGCAAACATGTTAGATACCCCCTGGGTGGGCTGGACATGTTAAACTAAAACACGTGAACCCAGCACTGGGCAACCATGTTAGATACCCCCCTGGGTGGCCTGGACACGTTGAAACAAATTGTCCTTGCTCGGGACAACCATGTTAGAACCCCCCTGTGTGGCCTGGACACGTAAAAACTCGTGGATCCAGCTTTGGGCAACCATGTTAGATACAGCTCTGGGTGGCCTGGACACGTTGAAACACGTGGTCCTTGCTCGGGACAAACATGTTAGATATCCCCCAGGGTGGCCTGGACACGTAAAAACACTTGGTTCAAGCTCGGGGCAATCATGTTAGATACCCCACTATGTGGCCTGGACTCGTTGAAACACATGGTTCAAGCTCGGGACAACCATGTTAGATACAGCTCTGGGTGGCCTGGACACGTAAACACACGTGGTTCAGTTCGGGACGGCCATGTTCGATATCCCCCCGGGTGGCCTGGACACGTAAAAAACACGTGGTTCCAGCTTGGGACAACCATGTTCGATACCCCCCTGCGTGGCCTGGATACGCTGAAATCGTTTTCCCGCTCGAGACGTCCTCGCAATGTCTTCAAAGGAGAGGCCCCCAAAGCGCCACCCCCTGTCCAGAGCAAGAGAACATACTTTTTCCGTATTGGGATCTGTGTTCGGGTAGCGCTTTTCGGCCCCCCGTGCGTTTCTTGATCATTCGGCGTTGGGCCCGACGCCATGTTAAATACCCCCGTGGGCGGCCGAGTAACTTTCGCCAAAGGCGCCAAAAATACTCCTCCTCCCTCTTCCTCCTCCTCTCTCCTCCTCCTCCTCCTCCTCCTCTCCCCTCCTCCTTTTCCTCCTCCTCCTCTTTTTTTCCTTCCTCCTTCCCCTCCTCCTCTTCCTCCTGCTGTAAAGGCCGAAAAGCCTCTAGTGGGCGGCCGAAAAAACCAAGATGCCTCTAGTGGGCGGCGGAGAAGACCGAGAGGCCTCTTGTGGGCGGCGGAGAAGGCCGAGAGGCCTCTAGTGGGCGGCGGCAAGGGCCGAAAGGCCTCTAGTGGGCGGCGGAGAAGGCCGAGAGGCTTCTAGTGGGCGGCGGAGAAGGCCGAGGACCTCTAGTGGGCGGCGGAGAAGGCCGAGAGGCCTCTAGTGGGCGGCGGAGAAGGCCGAGAGGCCTCTAGTGGGCGGCGGGGCGGCGGAGAAGGCCGAGAGGCCTCTAGTGGGCAGCCTTGGGGCCCCAAGGGGACCCCCCAGATCCCCAAGAGGAGTGGGCGATTTTTTCGGCCTCGGGGTCCTCGTCGTCGCCGCGGCTGGATCCCCCCCTCGAAATTATGGTCAGAGCGCGCACCTTCTCAAGCAAAAAAAAAAGGGAGGCGAGGCTCCCCCCCCGCGGCCCCCTCAGGCGCAGTGCCCGTAAAGGGAGGGGCCGCCTCCTGGGTGCCTTTCCGCCCCCTGCCCTACCTCGTTGAGGCGGGTTCGGGCGGGGGGGCGGAAGAGCACCCCCCTCTGTCCACCCTCCAGGCGGAAGGTGGACATAGGGAACGGAGTGGGGAGGAGTCCTCTGGCTGGCAACGGCATGCCTTCGTGGTCGTGCCGCGGGAGCCGCCCGATGGGGAGCTGCAGCTCCCGAAGGCTTGCAGCCAGGTAAGGGCCCTTCGCAATCCGCGCCTCAAAAGAGGGGTAACGAAGGACCCTTACCCCGACCCCACGGCAGCCACAGGCGCGCCGTTGCCATACCTCCTACGGTGCCCGAGGAGAGAGGGACCCCCTCTTTTCCCCGAAGCCCCCTAAGAGCCCAGCTGGGTCCCCTAGCAGCCTCCCAAAGAGCCCAAGAGCCCTGAGAGGCCCTCCAAAAAATCCATCGGGGCCCCCCTGCGAGATCCCTTTGGGCCACACCGCGGGCAGCCCGGGACGCGGGGGGCCCCCCAAGAGCTCCCCAGATCCCCAAGACCCCAGACACGGATCGCAAAATGGGCACACCCCTCACACGGATCGCAGAACGGGCACAGGCACACGGCACACCCTCACACGGATCGCGGATCGCAGAATGGGCACACCCCTCACACGGATCGTCTGCGGCACGCTCCGCACCCCTCACACGGATCGCAGACTGGGCACACCCCTCACACGGATCGCAGGATCGCAGAGTGGGCACA